TCGTGGTTCTAAAGCCACTTACCTTGCAATTGATCCTGCAACAACAACAACCTCTACCAGTAAATGCTATTTGTTCTCCTGACTTGTCACAATGGAATCGCATTTTCACTACTATTACCAGGTCTATTGTTGTCACTAACTGACGAACGTTCACCAAGTGCTAAGGGAAATCACTTGTACAACGCCGCCTTTGCCTTGGGCCTCATTTCTCGGGCAATGACAGCAGCTGTAGCGGCGAGTAGTATACGCGGATAGTATTGTCAGCAAAAGCAAGGGAGACTAGAATGGCCATTTCTGGCTTATTAACCGTCGCCAGCCAGTCATACACAGACTCAAGTGGTGCACCACCTAAGTCTCGAACTCGCGACCACAGGGTCTAACGCCCTAACCACTGGGCCACGAGGTCGTCAGATATTGACACCCGTTGACGAACGTTCACCGACCGTTAACGGAACTCAATTGTCCGGCTCCGTCTTTGCTGTTACCAGAAACATTGTTGTGTTCGTCCTACCCTATTTCTGCTACGGGGCATTGTTTCCACCTCTCTACCTCCATTAGGGCTTCACAGGCTGCCATGGTGACCGTCTTTTATTGTTTTATCACACGCATACACGTGCACGTATTTTTAACCTCCTCACTGGTTGCTGGTGCTCGCCTGAGCCCTTTAAGGAGATTGGCTGTTGAAGTTTTTTGTTCTTCAAGTCTTTCTCTCTCCCTCTATTTAGGTCACCGGCGAGGGGACGTGCATGAAGACATGGAGACAGACGAGCCCGGAAAGGATGCTGCTGATCCTCCCGAATTCACCCACCTTGGCGACATTGCCCAGGAGTCAACTCTCCACGCGGACCCCGATTGGGATGATAGTGGAGATGTCCTCGGTCCGATGCCCGGATTCGGTAGCTTGAACGGTGGCTCTGTCAATGGCAGAGGACACTATAGTGAGCAAAAGCGGAACTCGGGTAGGCTCTTTCTGTCCCATATGTTGATGCACTCTCGGCGTTTTTTTTCAAGTAGACGTGCTGAAATGCTCCTCTAGTTTTTTTTTATTCGACTCGCTGTTCCTCCAATTTGGCCCTTCCTACCTGTTCTCTTACGGTTAACCAATTTCTTGGTCCTTCTTCTTGGCATTCATCAACGACCTAGAACATAAAGCTCTGAAGATTTAAAGAAATAATGACTCACAAGAGGAACAGTTATAATGTCTGCTTGTCATTGCTGTGCTATCGCTTCTAGAGAACCTAGTTTGAACCCTGGGTAAAACGGGTACATTGTGAGTTCTGTTGGGATTGTGCCAGCAACTGCTCTGTCTGAAAGGGTCGTCGCCACAGCCCACACGCGTAGTAGCTATACACTCCACCGTCCATTTAAATTCCTTAGTGGGCTGGAATGGCACCCACTTTGTTACGATTAAAAAATAATAGTCATCGTAGTCTTTACTCATCATGCCCAGGTCGTTCGCTGTCTATTCCCATTCTTAGTAACCGAGAACCGTCAATTTTAGCCGAACCGTCTTACCCAAATGGACCATTCAAAGGCCATTTCGTATGGTCGCTTGTGCAAACATCTTATTCCGTATATATGTATGAACTGTACACAATGCACAACACGGTAGATGTTTAGGACCAACATGCGGGCCAGATCAAGACAACATTCCGCAAACGGGTATGTGGTGACTTGCCTAGGCGCAGACTCGGGTTGCACCAGCCACTTAGGTCCTACCCCGCTTCTGTCCGTCCGTCCGCCCCCTACTATGGGGCACACAATAGATTTTTAGGGGTCGATGGTTGGACTTGTGGCGGACGGCTACAATGCCTGCCTCTCCCCCTTCGTTCTGCAGTGCTCGCGGCTACCAACGTCCTTTGTCTTTGCAGGTAGTTGTTTCACTTGCTGACCTGAAGACCACTTGACCGCTATTCAGTTCCACACTTACATGCGCACACACGCACGCACACGCGTGCCCAAGTAGTCGCGGCTTTGTAAGGAAAACTCGAATATACCAAGCCGCGCCCACGCAGCAGGGGGCCTCTACAGGCGATATCCGCTCGGGCAATTGCAATACACCAATAGCAAACCACCTGACCTTGCTCCGCTATCCTACTTAAGCAACTGCCACCACTGTCTCATTCCCTCTCAGGTCTAGCTGGACGCAGTCAACACTAGCCCTGGCTTTGCCAGTGCTCACTCCCGCCTGGGACCGCAGTTGGGAGTTCTGTT